CTGACCATCCCTGACCGGCACTGACCATCCCTGACCGGCACTGACCATCGGTGACAGGCACTGACCATCACTGGCCGGTACTGACCGGCACTGACCGGCACTGACCATCCCTGACCGGCACTGACCATCTCTGACCGGCACTGACCATCTCTGACCGGCACTGACCGGCACTCAATATGCTTAGGAAGGACATCAGGCCACGCGGTGGCTCAGCCCACACACGCGTCGGCTCAGGCATGAAAAGGGGCCACGGACCCGGCCACCGCCGCCCCCTCCTGGGCACTCTGAAACGCAGTGAACGGGCGTGCAGGCCTGCAGGGGGGACCCGGCAGCCGGTGTGGCGGTCAGCGGAGCCCCTGGGCAGGAGGGCTCAGAGCGGGTCAGTGGAAGGACGGACGGTCGCGGGCCTGCCTCTCCGCAGACGGGCCCTGGGGCCGGTCACTCTCACTCGCGTGCCCTGCAGAAACTCGCCAGACGGAGGGGAGACGGGGCGTGGCCCGGCAGCAAAGCCCTTTTCAGGGTCCTTACTGCTGAGCTTACCACTGACGCCCTCCTTTCCTCCCGCCGCCCCCCCCGGCCCCCCCCGCCAGGCCTTCCCACCCAGACTGTCCGGAGGTCATGCTACACGCACACACACACTCGTACACACATGCACACGTACATGCAAACACGCACACACACACAATCTTTGTCTAGGCTCTTCCCGTCCCCCTTCCCTCCGGGAACGTCACTGTGTTCGTTTCCCGCCTCTGGCCCTGTTACTCACCAGTTCAGGCAGCGAATGGCATACGTGCGAACGGACATGGGACGGGGCGCCAGGCGCTTTGCTGCCGGGAAGTGTCAGGCCGGGCCCGGTGGGCGGGTGAGCAGCTCTGCCCGAGGGAGAAGGGAGCCGCCGCTGTGCCGTCCTGGCAAAGCGACCAGGACGCGGCGCCGGGACACGGGGGGCCGGTCTCCGTGCAGAGCCCCCGCTGACCTCTGACCGGGCTGTGGGCGAGGCTGGGTGGCACATCAGGGACCGGCCCTCCCAGGGGCGCTGGCATCCCAGGGAAATGCCGGTCGCTGCTCCTCAGGGATCGCTTCCGTGGAGCCTGGCTGGCTGTCACGGCGGCCGAGGTCACCCCGGTCTGGCCGGGCGGCGGTCTCCCAGCTCCCGCGGCCCCTGGTCCCTGGGGCTCCACCCCCCAGAGGCCCGCCTGCTGGTCCACGGCGGCTAAGGGGCCCGGGTCCGGCAGGCAGAGTGGCCTCTCACCTCCGCTCTGGCCTCCCACCCCCAAACCCGGGCCGCAGGACGGGCGTGACCGTGGCCTGCTGGGAGGAGCGCCGGTGAAGCCGCCACAGCCGGTCACCTGCCACCTGCTGCTCGGCACTGTGCTGGCGCCGCGTCCCCCGCCTCCCCTCCGGCAGCCGCGTGACTGACCCGCTCACATCACCAAGCAAAGCCACAGCCGCTGGAGCCGCGAGTTACCCGTCCCGGCCGAGGCGCTGCTCGCCCGCGCCCCCTTGGCTTTAAGCGGCTCAGGAGGAGCTGGAGCACCGGGGAGCGGGTGGGGGCAGGGGCCTTGGGAACCGGAGAGCATCTCATTCTCCCTCCAGGGACAGTGACCTCCCGTTTCTCTCCCCCACAGGAGAGGAGGAGGAGGGAGAGCGGGGGGAGGAGGAGCGAGGAGGAGGAAGAGGAGGAGGAGGGAGAGCGGGAGGAGGAGGAGCGAGGAGGAGGAAGAGGAGGAGGAGGAGGGAGAGCGGGAGGAGGAGGAAGAGGAGGAGGGGGAGGAAGGAGAGCAAGAGGAGGAGGAGGGAGGAAGAGGAAGAGGAGGAGGAGGGAGAGCAGGAGGAGGAGGAAGAGGAGGAGGAAGGGGGAAGGGAGGAGGGAGAGCAGGAGGATGAGGAGGGAGGAGGAGGAAGAGCAGGAGGAGGGAGAGCAGGAGGAGGAGGAGGAAGAGGAGGAGGAAGGGGGAAGGGAGGAGGGAGAGCAGGAGGATGAGGAGGGAGGAGGAGGAAGAGCAGGAGGAGGGAGAGCAGGAGGAGGAGGAGGAAGAGGAGGAGGAGGGAGAGCAGGAGGAGGAGGAGGGAGGAGGAGGAAGGAGAGCAGGAGGAGGAGGGAGAGGAGGAGGAGGGAGAGCGGGATGAGGAGGAGGGAGGACGAGGAGGGAGGAGGAGGAAGAGGAGGAGGGAGAGCAGGAGGAGGAGGGAGGAGGAGGAAGAGGAGGAGGGAGAGCAGGAGGAGGAGGGAGGAGGAGGAAGAGGAAGAGGAGGGAGAGCAGGAGGAGGAGGAGGGAGGGAGGGGAGGGGGAGGAGTCGGGGACAGCATGTCTCTGGGGGACTCTGTGAGTTTGAGTTTGACCTTCAGCTCCAGGTCTGCTTCTCTAAGCAGGAAGCCAGGTCTGGACACAGTGAGGACAGGTGATGGGGGGAGGAAGGGGGACTCCAGGCTCCCCCCCTCTGTCTCTGTTACAAACGGGGAGATTTCCCTGTAAAAGCCGCCGGTCCCCTGTGGCTAACGGGGTCCCGAAAGCTAAGGTGGGGGCTGAGGGTCTTCAAATGAGCCCCCCACCCCCCGCACCTGGGCCGAGAGAGCGCCCAGCCTGTCCGCTCACTGCCCCGGGCTCAGGGCGCCAAGCAGGGAGGCCGGGGCTGGTCCGGCAGAGTGGCCTCCAGGTGTGTCCTGTGGCCGCTGGGCCTGGGAGGGGCCGGGGCGGGGCGGGGCCTGGCCTGGGGCGGGTCCTCCCCCTCCAGGTGTCCTGTAGGACGTGGAGGCAAAATAAGCCTTTAACTCTCGAGAAGGAAGGTTCTTTCAGACATCCTGGTCTTCAGATGCTAATATGGCTGCTGCAATTTCCTTTAAAAACACTGGCTCTTCCACTGAAATACGGGAGGAGCCGGTCCAAGCGCTCCCTGGGGTCACGGGGTGGGTAAGCCCCTCGGGGCGGGGTGAGGAGTAAGAGGGACGAGGCAGGGGGCAGTCCTGAGAGCCCAGACGCCGTGTCTGCGGTCTCGGGACCTTCCGTCGGACCACACGGCCCCCGTCTCCGTCACCGGTGAGCGGGCAGACGGACGGCAGACCGGGGCCTTGAGAGGCACAGGCATGCGTTCGAGGACGGTTAGGCTCTGACGTCAGGAAACAGTGTCCGGTGTTCAGTTCCCAGTCGCTGAGGCCGGGCAGAGGGCAAACCCTTTCCTCTGAGGTGACTCCTCAGGTGAAAGCCTCCAGGGTTCTGTCCGTTTAAAATCCATTTCAGAGCGGAAGACAGAGGGAGAGAGAAATGATGATGAGAGAATCACTGACCGGCTGCCTCCTGCACGGCCCCCCAATCCCAACACTCACACCGGGGACGGAGCCTGCCCCCGGGCCTGTGCCCGACCGGGATGGAACCGTGACCTCTGTTCAGGGGCCGACGCCCACCCGCTGAGCCAGCCGCGGCTGTCAGTTTCAGCTTAGAGATCAGGCTGCCTCTTCCCCTGGGCGCGCTCGGGCTGCTGAGCTCCTGCCGCCGCCGAGGCTCCGGGTGGGACGGAGCCGGGCCTGCCAGGCCTCTGTGTGTGCATGTGCGAGCACGTGTGTGAGTGTGCATGCGCGTGTGCACGCGTGTGTATGTGCGTGTGTGTGCATGTGCGTGTGAACCTGGCCCCTGTCTTGCAGGAGGAGGGCGTGGTCAAGGAGATCGACATCAGCCACCACGTGAAGGACGGCTGCGAGAAGGCCGACCCCTCCCAGTTTGAGCTGCTGAAGGTCTTGGGGCAAGGCTCCTACGGGAAGGTGAGCCTCTGGGCCTCTGAGCGCGTCCCCTCCCCGTGGCCATCCCCTCGCCCCGTGCCCATCCCCATCCCTGTGCCTGTCCTCCCTCCCCGTGGCCATCCCCTCGCCCCATGCCCATCCCCATCCCTGTGCCTGTCCCCTCTCCCCGTGGCCATCCCCTCGCCCCGTGCCCATGCCATCCCTGTGCCTGTCCCCCCTCCCCGTGGCCATCCCCTCGCCCCATGCCCATCCCATCCCTGTGCCTGTCCCCCCTCCCCGTGGCCATCCCCTCGCCCCATGCCCATCCCATCCCTGTGCCTGTCCCCCCTCCCCGTGGCCATCCCCTCGCCCCATGCCCATCCCATCCCTGTGCCTGTCCCCCCTCCCCGTGGCCATCCCCTCGCCCCGTGCCCATCCCATCCCTGTGCCTGTCCCCCCTCCCCGTGGCCATCCCCTCGCCCCGTGCCCATCCCATCCCTGTGCCTGTCCCCCCTCCCCGTGGCCATCCCCTCGCCCCATGCCCATCCCATCCCTGTGCCTGTCCCCCCTCCCCGTGGCCATCCCCTCGCCCCGTGCCCATCCCATCCCTGTGCCTGTCCCCCCTCCCCGTGGCCATCCCCTCGCCCCGTGCCCATGCCCATCCCTGTGCCTGTCCCCCCTCCCCGTGGCCATCCCCTTGCCCCATGCCCATGCCCATCCCTGTGCCTGTCCCCCCTCCCCGTGGCCATCCCCTCGCCCCGTGCCCATCCCATCCCTGTGCCTGTCCCCCCTCCCCGTGGCCATCCCCTCGCCCCATGCCCGTCCCCATCCCTGTGCCTGTCCCCCCTCCCCGTGGCCATCCCCTCGCCCCATGCCCATCCCATCCCTGTGCCTGTCCCCCCTCCCCGTGGCCATCCCCTCGCCCCGTGCCCATCCCATCCCTGTGCCTGTCCCCCCTCCCCGTGGCCATCCCCTCGCCCCGTGCCCATGCCCATCCCTGTGCCTGTCCCCCCTCCCCGTGGCCATCCCCTCGCCCCATGCCCATGCCCATCCCTGTGCCTGTCCCCCCTCCCCGTGGCCATCCCCTCGCCCCGTGCCCATCCCATCCCTGTGCCTGTCCCCCCTCCCCGTGGCCATCCCCTCGCCCCATGCCCGTCCCCATCCCTGTGCCTGTCCCCCCTCCCCGTGGCCATCCCCTCGCCCCATGCCCATCCCATCCCTGTGCCTGTCCCCCCTCCCGGTGTCCTTGGGGAGAAGGAGCGGCTGATGGGGTCTGTCTCTGCAGGTGTTCCTGGTGCGCAAGGTGGTGGGGCCGGATGCCGGGCAGCTGTACGCCATGAAGGTGCTGAGGAAGGCCACACTGAAAGGTGGGGCTCGGGGTCAGAGGGTCAGAGTGGGCTCAGGGGAGGGCGCAGGGGGCACGGGGGGCCAGGGGGCTCGGAGGGTGGCCACTCTGCTCCCGTCGCCTTCCTGCAGAGCCACGTGGTTCAGGGGCGTCCCTAACGAGGACCCCAGTCACATGGCTCTGACTGATAAACTGTGAGCTTCCGAGCATCCGTATCCCTCATTCCTGGAGTACATGCCATGTGGCATCAGCACCCTCCTTCCACGAATGTCCACACGTGCACGCGTGGCACGGAGCCTCGAGCGGGCGGCCGGCAGGTGGTCACGCTGCGTGTGGACGGCTGGCCGGCCTGAGTCGTGGCCGCTCTGCATCCCTTTGTGGTCGCAGGGACAGTAGAAGCCCGGCCCATGCCTGGTTCTCAGCCCTCCAGTGCCCACTGCCACCGAGCACAGGCCCTGACGAGAGACCTGGGCACGTGTGTCCCCCACACACGTGCCTGGGGTGTTCGTGCCCAGAGGTCCATTCTCACGGACGCCAGAGCGGCAGGACGGTCACAGGTGTAGCTCCATGTCCAAGGGCGCCGCTGGCGTGGGGTCCGCACAGGGCCCAGGGGTGTGGCTGGGCGTGGCCGTCACATCTCGGCGGTCAGCGGGAGGGGACCGGCCCGGCGGGGAGCAGGCCTTCACCGTGTCACCGCCCGCCCGTGCCTGCGGGCACCGTCTCACCAGCCACGTCTCACATGGAATCTCCCCGACGCCGTTCTCCGGGGTCATGTGGGCGCCGCGGCCGGCGCTGGCCTCCTGTTCCAGGTGCCCTTGAGGACGCGGGTGGGCGAGGCTCCGGCCTTTCCGGTTGGTTCCGGCATCGCCCACGGGCTCGGCCTCTGGACGCCGACCGGCAGCGGCCGTCACTGGCCGGCGCCCGAGCCGTGTCTTCGCCGGCTCCTCCGATGGTCCCAGCCTCTGGGCACCGCCTCGGGCTGTGGTTCGCTCCGTGCCGGTCAGCGTTAACCCTCCGGCGGGCCTGGCTGGCTGTGGCGTGACCCAGGGCGGACTCAGACACGTCCTCCCGCCGTGACTGGGCGGCCCTGGGGGTGGGCGCGGCCCGGCTCCGGTGCTGACGGAGCAGGTCTGCCACGTGCGGCGACAAGGCATCCGTCCCGGAGGGTTAGTCTCCTTCCCGGCACCAGAGGCGCGCTCTGCAGGGGGTGCAGGGCTCGTGTCCCTTCTCTCCCCCATCACCTCACGGGGCAGGCGTGGGGGCGGGACAGGCCGCTGGCAGGGCCTTTCCCCAGAAGGGGACCCACCTCGATGCCCGGCCGCAGGTGGGGGTGTGCGGGAGGCCACCCAGATTGACTCTCCCATCGATGTTTCTCTCGTCTCTCCCTCTCCCTTCCACTCGCTCTAAAAATCCATGGAACGTATCCTTGGGTGAGGGTTAGCAAAACAAAAACAAAAGAAGGAGAGAACAAGGGAACAACCACGTGTGGACTTGAGAGCCTCCTGGTGGGGAACCCGCTGTCCGAGCGATGGGGCGGGGATGGGGGTGTCCGGAGGGCTGCTGCCCTCAGGGGCTGTCTGGTTGGTGCTGTAGGAGATCAATCATCCTGTTCCTAGGGGCTGCTGGCCTGGGGGTCATGGTGTTGGCTGTTGAGAGGTTGAGAGTCAGACATCTGATCAAAGTGTGTACAGTGTGTGTGTGTGTGTGTGTGTGTGTGTGTGTGTAGAGAGAGAGAGAGAGAGGGAGGAAGAGAGAGAGAGGAAGAGAGAGAGAGGAATAGAGAGGACGCAAATGCAGCGATTGGGGCCCCCTGGTCCTCGCCCTGCTCCACTCCGGTGCGTGGGGATTGCGGGGACGAGAGGAGGGGGTGTGCGTGCGGGCGTGCCGGCTGGGCCAGGCGCTGAGCGGGCCTGTTCTGTCCGCAGTCCGGGACCGCGTCCGGTCCAAGATGGAGAGGGACATCCTGGCCGAGGTGAACCACCCGTTCATTGTGAAGCTGCACTACGGTAACCACGGGGAGTAAACAACCACCTGCTTCCGGGGCCCGGGCAGCGCCCCACGGGCACCGAGAGGAGCCAGCGCCAGGGGGGCCCTGAGTCATCACCCTGACCCCCCTGTCCCCCCCGAGTGGTCACCCAGACCCCCCTGTCCCCCCCGAGTCGTCACCCTGCCCCCCTGTCCTCCCCGAATCGTCACCCTGACCCCCCGTCCCCCCCGAGTCGTCACCCTGACCCCCCTGCCCCCCTCACCCCCCAGCCACCCTGCCCCTCTGAGTCACCCCGCCCCCCCATCACCCCGCCCCCCCATCACCCTGCCCCCCCAGTCCCTCGGCGTTCTTTTTCCCAAAAGGAGCGAGTGCCTTGCTTTTCTCTGAAGACCTGCTGTGCGCTGGCTGCACCTCGCTGTCCTTTAAGGACACGAGGCGACAGCTGACGGCCGCTCTCCCCTCACAGCCTTCCAGACCGAGGGCAAGCTCTACCTGGTCCTGGACTTCCTGCGGGGCGGGGACCTCTTCTCCCGGCTCTCCAAGGAGGTGAGGGGCCGGGGCCGCCCTTTCCGGCTGGGGCTCCAGGGACAGCGGAGGGAGAGCCTGGGGGTGCTCGCTCCCGCATTTCCTGGGGGGCCCTCAGCAGTGGCGCGGCGACATGGGGGCTACTTGCAGCACCGTTCAGCCTGAGGCCACGGAATCAGACCCAGTTCTAGCTAAAGCTCTCTCAGAGCAGCCGTCCCTCCGGCCTGGTGCCTGCTCCCTCCTGGGGCGGGTGCCTGGCCCCTCCTGGGGTGGGTGCGTGGTTCCTCCTGGAGCGGGTGCCTGCTCCCTCTTGGGATGGGTGCCTGGTCCCTCCTGGGATGGGTGCCTGGTCCCTCCTGGGATGGGTGCCTGGTCCCTCCTAGGATGGGTGCGTGGTTCCTCCTGGAGCGGGTGCCTGCTCCCTCCTGGGATGGGTGCCTGGTCCCTCCTGGGATGGGTGCCTGGTCCCTCCTGGGATGGGTGCCTGGTCCCTCCTAGGATGGGTGCGTGGTTCCTCCTGGGGCGGGTGCCTGCTCCCTCCTGGGTGGGTGCGTGGTCTCTGTTGTCCCTGCACCACGGCCGACGCCGGAGAGCTGGCCTCCGGAGAAGTCTGTCCCCCTGAGCGGAGGGAGGTGCCCGGCTCGGTGCACAGGGTGCAGTCGGTGAGGGGAAGTAGGCGGCCTGGAGCTGCCTGTGAGCGCCGTGGCTGCTCAGGAGCTGGGGAAACGCGGACATTGGAAGGAGGCTGACGGGAGACGGCAGCACGGGCGTCCCCCAGGCTGTGGGCACGGCCCCCGCCCCGCTGCCTGGGAGGGTCCCTGTGTGGAGGGAGGTGTTCGTCCGTGTGAGCTTGGCAGCCATATCCGGGCCCGTGGCCCGGCGCTGCCTGTTGCTCACGGTCGCCCTCAGGGGGCGCTCTGGGCTCCGGGCGTGACCTTGCTCGCTGACGGATGAGGACAGGGTCCCCGTTGGCTTTGGCTCCCTGACATGCGCGCTGCCCAGCACCTGTGCTCTGACACCTCGGGGATGGGCGTGTCCTGGTGGCCCCGACCTCAGTGTGCGAGATCCCCCAGCCTGAACCCGGCGCCCCGCACCTCGGGCCCCCACACCCCATGCTCCTGTCCCCACCTCGGGGTGTCGCCTTGGGGGAGCCCACCGCCCTCTGGGTGGGTGTGCACCGTGAAGGTGGCTGAGGGGAGGGAGGAGCCATGCCAGACGGGAGGTCACAGCTCCTCACCAGGCGGCTGCGGCTCAGCCTGCCGGCCCCCTGGGCAGCGAATGTGGGCGGGGACACGGAGCTGTGGCCGCGGGCGGGGACCCGGGAGAGGGGGTCCACGGGGCGCCAGCTGCGTAGGCCACGCTCCTCGCCGCCCTGACCTGACGCTATAAGAGACCGTGTTCCCCCTGCGCGGGCCGCGGGGAGGAGGCTGCGGGGAGGAGGCTGCGGGGAGGAGGCCGCGGGGAGGAGGCTGCGGGGAGGAGGCCGCGGGGAGGAGGCCGCGGGGAGGAGGCCGCGGGGAGGAGGCTGCGGGGAGGAGGCCGCGGGGAGGAGGCCGCGCGTGGACGCGGGGCTGAGCCGGCCCCCGGCGGAGTGTGTGCACGGCGGGCCGCGGGGAGGAGGCCGCGGGGAGGAGGCCGCGGGGAGGAGGCCGCGGGGAGGAGGCCGCGCCTGGACGTGGGGCTGAGCCGGCCCCCGGCGGAGTGTGTGCAGACGCACGGCCGCCGCCAGCCCGCCCCGCTCCGCTCCCAGGTGATGTTCACCGAGGAGGACGTCAAGTTCTACCTGGCGGAGCTGGCCCTGGCGCTGGACCACCTGCACGGCCTGGGCATCATCTACCGGGACCTGAAGCCCGAGAAGTGAGTGCCCCTGCTGGGCAGCCCCTCCCCGTTTCCACAGGAGGGCACCCCGAGTGGGCGGGGCCTCCTCACTGCACCGCCCGGGGCGGGGGGGGGGGGGGGGATGAGCAGCCACCCGCTGCCCCGTGCCTACCTGCCGGGCTGACGGCCTCTGCTCCCCCGCAGCATCCTCCTGGACGAGGAAGGCCACATCAAGGTGACCGGTGAGTGAGCGCCGGCCCCGAGGCCCCGCTCCCACTCCCCCTGCCCCCGCCGCTGCGGGAGGAGGGAGGGAGGCAGAGGAGAGGGCTGTTTCTATCTCCCCGCCTCCTCCCTCCTCTTCCCGCCTCCCTCCTCCCTCCTCCTCTCTCCTCCCTCCTCCCTCCTTCCCCTCCCAACAAGTCTGGTCAGGGGCCCCCCGTGCTGTAGCCGTCTGCTGGCCGGGTGGGCCTGTTAGGAATCAGGTCTCCGGGGAACTTCATGGTGGTCACTAAAAAGTACAATTTATTTTTAAAAACATATACATTTTATTGATTCCAGAGAGGAAGGGAGAGGGAGAGAGAAACATCAATGATGAGAGAGAATCACGGATCAGCTGTCTCCTGCACGCCCCACACGGGGGATGGATGGAGCGAAACCTGGGCCTGTGCCCTGACTGGGAATGGAACCGTGACCTGGTTCATAGGCAGCGCTCTCCACTGCGCCTCACCAGCCAGGCAGAAGTGCAGTTTCTTGACCTTCCAGAGCTCCTGAACCCGCAGAGGCCCAGGTCCCGCAGCACCTGAGGGCGTGGGCGCTGGCGCCGGGGCAGAGCTGGCAGAACTCACGGGGTGCCGGCTGAGCCGGGACTGAGAAGCCCTGCTGTTTCCTCAGACTTCGGGCTGAGCAAGGAGGCCATCGACCACGACACACGCGCCTACTCCTTCTGTGGGACCATCGAGTACATGGCGCCCGAGGTGGTGAACCGGCGGGGCCACACGCAGAGCGCCGACTGGTGGTCCTTCGGCGTGCTCATGGTGAGGGGCGTGCGTGGTGAGGGCTGCCACGGTGAGGGCGGGAGCCATGGTGAGGGCGGGAGCCATGGTGAGGGCGGCTGCCGTGGTGAGGGGGGGTGCCATGGTGAGGGTGGGAGCCATGGTGAGGGCACGAGCCATGGTGAGGGGCGTGCGTGGTGAGGGCTGCCACAGTGAGGGGGTGCCATGGTGAGGGGGGTGCCATGGTGAGGGCAGCCTGCCTGGGGTGTGCCATGGTGAGGGCAGCTGCCATGGTGAGGGGGGTGCCATGTTGAGGGGGGTGCCATGGTGAGGGTGGCCTGCCTGGGGTGTGCCAGGCCCTCGCACCTGCCCCTCTGCACCCCATGCCATTCCAGAACCTTCTCTGGGGTCTGACGCCCCCGCTCTGTCTCTGCAGTTCGAGATGCTCACGGGGTCGCTGCCGTTCCAGGGCAAGGACCGGAAGGAGACCATGGGCCTCATCCTCAAGTGAGTGGGGACGCCCGGCTCCACCGGCAGCGCCAGCTCCCTCCCCGGAGCCTCGGGCTCCCACTGGGGCCTGAGCCCCCAGCCCCAGGGGAGACCCCGGAGACCAGCGCTGCCGAGAGCCCCCTCTGCAGCCTGGCCCTTTAGTCCCAGGACAGGCACTGTGGCCGGCGCTGTGGCTCTCGGCGGCTCCATTGTGGAAGCCGGGAAGACTCAGTCTGGTTTCTCCGTGGCCAGCATCCCCGCCGCCCCGTGAGCAGGTCCCCCTGATAGCACGGAAGCACCTGAGACCAGGCCGGGCGAGCTGCCGCCACGCGAGTGCCCTGGTCTCAGTGCTGCCGGCCAGTCAGGGGCACGGGCACACTGGTGGCCGTGGCCGGCAGCAGGCGGTGGCACTGGTAGCCGAGCCGCCTGACCGCCGCCGCCTGCCCGCAGGGCCAAGCTGGGCATGCCTCAGTTCCTCAGCGCGGAGGCGCAGAGCCTGCTGCGGGCACTCTTCAAGCGGAACTCGTGCAACCGGCTGGGTGAGTGCCCCCCCCCCCGCCGGACACCGGACAGACACCGGACAGACACCGGACAGACACAGACACCGGACGGACACCGGACGGACACCGGACGGACACCGGACAGACACCGGACGGACACCGGACGGACACAGACACCGGACGGACACCGGACGGACACCGGACAGACACCGGACGGACACCGGACAGACACCGGACAGACACCGGACGGACACGGACACCGGACGGACACCGGACGGACACCAGACGGACACCGGACAGACACCGGACGGACACCGGACGGACACAGACACCGGACGGACACCGGACGGACACCGGACGGACACAGACACCGGACGGACACCGGACGGACACTGGACGGACACTGCCCGGCTCCGTTCCTGCCCGGGGTCCCGGCCCCAGGGGGGAGGGGGAGAGCTGTCCACACCCGTTCCCACCCCTGACGGCCCTCCCGCCACCTCCCAAGACAGAGACAAGGACGGCCCCAGGGCCGCTGCCAGGTCAGCCGTTCACCGCGGCGGCTGGGCGGGCCAGACCCGGTTCCGAGGTCGCCACTCACCCCACCGCAGTCTCTGCCGGTCTCGGGCCCCCCCCCCCCCCCGCCCCGGTCGCCCTCGTTGGGGCTCCTGCTGGCCTGCGGCCGTTCACACTGTCCTGGCAGGTGTCTCGCCACACACACCCCCCCCCCCCGTCGCCCTCGGCGGGGGGTTCACACTGTCCTGGTGTCTCGCCACACACACACCCCCCCCCCCCCCGTCGCCCTCGGCGGGGGGTTCACACTGTCCTGGCAGGTGCGGGCAGCGACGGCGTGGAGGAGATCAAGCGCCACCCCTTCTTCGGCTCCATCGACTGGAACGTAAGTGCGCGGTCCCTCACAGGGTGGGGAGGGGCGGGCACACCGGCCAGGGCACCCAGGCCACGCCCGCCTGCCGCCTCAGGGCTCGGAGCCGTGGCTGAGCCGGGTCACCCGTGGGTGCAGGGAGGGCGCCGTGGCTGAGACGGGGTCACCCACGGGTGCAGGGAGGGCGCCGTGGCTGAGACGGCGCCCACCGGCTGGGTCTCACCGAGACCATTTCGCGCCGTGCTGAGCTCCCAGCTGCCCCCACAGCCCCGGCTCATCAACCTGGGGAGGGTGCTAGCCCGGCCCCGGCCGCCTCCAGGGCTTCCGTGTAGGACTGGAGGCCGGGCCGGGGCGCGCTTGGTGCCCGGGCCTGGGGGGATGTGCGCCTGGGAGCGCCCTCATCGCGGCCAGCGAGCGGCTGTGCGTGCCCGTGGCTGCGGCTCACCCCGCCCGCCCCCAGGGCGGCCCGAGGGCTCCAGGCTGAGCCCCGCAGGAGCCCCGCTCGGCCTCCAGGGGAGCTGGTCCTCAGGCCCCTCCCCTCCCGCCCGCTCATGGTTCTCCCTCCCTCCCTGCCCGCTCCCCCTCCCTCCCCTCCCTCCCCCCCCCAGAAGCTGTACCGGAAGGACATCAAGCCGCCCTTCAAGCCCGCTGTGGGCCGGCCCGAGGACACCTTCCACTTCGACCCCGAGTTCACCACCCGGACGCCCACAGGTGCCGCCCGCCGGGAGGGGGTCACCTGCCGGGAGGGGTGCCGCCCGCCGGGAGGGGTGTCACCCGCCAGGAGGGGGTGCCGCCCGCCGGGAGGGGTGCCGCCCGCCGGGAGGGGGTCACCTGCCGGGAGGGGTGCCGCCCGCCGGGAGGGGTGTCACCCGCCAGGAGGGGGTGCCGCCCGCCGGGAGGGGTGTCACCGCCGGGAGGGGTGCCGCCCGCCAGGAGGGGTGCCGCCCGGGGTTCTCACCGTCCGCGGGGCCTCCTGCCCGATCAGAGGAGCCCGGCCTCAACTCGGCTTCACGCACACCCACCCCCTGCACATGCCACGCTGCCCCCACGCCGCCCCCCCGGCAGCCCCGCAGCCTCCCGAGGGACCGCCCTGTCCCCGCAGACTCGCCGGGCGTGCCCCCCAGCGCCAACTCGCACCAGCTGTTCCGGGGCTTCAGCTTCGTGGCCTCCAACCTGGTCCAGGAGCCCCCCCAGCAGGACCCGCACAGGACGGCCGTGCACCCCATCGTGCAGGTACCCGCCCCCCGGGGCGTCCCACGCACACGGCCAGGCCCTCTCAGCGGCAGTGCTCTCCGCCCTGACTCCTGAGCCACCGTGCTCTGACCGTGCTCTGGTCCTCGTCCGCTGTCCTGAGGAAGGGGCCGGAGGTGGCGGTCAGTGTGGGCAGAGCCACAGGGGCATGGGGGTCAGGGAAGGCGGCCTGTGGTCTCCGACCTCGCACCTCCACAGGGGGAGCCCTCGCACAGAGCCCATGGGGAGAGTGTCTGAGGCTGTGGGCCCGGGGGCTGGGTTTCCCGTCTCCCTCCCCCTTCGGGGCAGAAGGCAGGGGGTCCGAGGGGACAGCGCTGGCTGGGAGGGCGCCCCGGCCTCGGTGCTGAACGTGGGGTGACCGGGCCTCATGGGGTCAGAGTCCCATGTAGGGTCAACACGCAAACACGCTCCGGACCCGGTCTGAGCCCACGCCTGGGCTCCGGCTCCGCCTCCTGCTCCAGACCCACACTCTCCGCTACGGGGGAACTGGCCGCCGGCCCCGAGCCCCGGGTCTGAAAGGGGTGGCCCGAGTGGGAGGCTGGGGTCCGGGTGGGAACCGTCCTCCAAGCTCCGGGGCCCTGGCCGGGGGACTCCCACCACCCCCCCGACCTCCGTGTGCAGGCGCACAATCCGGCCCCTCTGCCCCTCACCATGGCCTCCCCCCAAGAGCTGAGGGCCCCTCCGTCCCCGGCCTCAGGGTGGGGCACACAGCCTGGATCCCGTTGCACACGCTGTGCACCTTCCCCCCCTCCCTTACCCCCCCTCCCTTCCCTCCCCCCCCCGAGAGCTGAGGGCCCCCTCCCCCCGCAGCAGCTGCACGGGGACAACGTCCACTTCTCCGACGGCTACGAGGTCAAGGAGGACATCGGGGTGGGCTCCTACTCCGTGTGCAAGCGGTGCGTGCACCGCGCCACCGACGCCGAGTACGCCGTGAAGGTGAGGCCCTGCCCGGCAGCTGCCTGCGCCCACCTGTCCTGCCCCCCCGCCCCCCGCTCTGCCTTCGAGGCTCCACAGGACGGGGTTCCCTGGCTTTGAGGTTAGGCCCCATTTGAACTTTATTTGGCAAATCGTGGATGTTGTCAGCTCTAGGCACAGCGAGGTACGGCGCCCCTTGCGCCTGTGGGTGATCCACGCTGGCCGTGGCTTTGGCCCTCGTGTTCGGGAATATAGCATGGGGGCGAAGGGAGCGGGGAGGCGGAGGAGGGAACCTGGGTGCAGTCCCCACGAAGCAGGCCGGGAATTCCCGGTCGGCCTTGTCCCTGGGAGCGGGCGGGGGAAGGTCTGTCCGAGCCGCTCGGCACCACGGTCTGTTCCAGATCATCGACAAGAGCAGGAGGGACCCCTCGGAGGAGATCGAGATCCTCCTGCGGTACGGCCAGCACCCCAACATCATCACCCTCAAGGACGTGAGTGCCCGGGTGCCCCGAGCCCTCCTTCCCCCTCAGCGCCCGGCCGTGCGGGGACCGGTGTGCATGGAGGGGGGGGGGCAGCCAGTGCTCGGCCGTGCGGGGGGGCCGGTGTGCAGGGAGGAGGGGGGGGGCAGCCAGTGCTCGGCCGTGCGGGGGGGCCGGTGTGCATGGAGGGGGGGGGGGGCAGCCAGAGTGCTCGGCCGTGCGGGGGGACCGGTGTGCATGGAGCGGGGGGGGGGGGGGGCAGCCAGTGTGAAGGCCGTGCGGGGGGGCCGGTGTGCAGGGAGGAGGGGGGCAGCCAGAGTGCTCGGCCGTGTGGGGGGACCGGTGTGCAGGGAGGGGGGGGGCAGCCAGTGTGAAGGCCGTGCGGGGGGGCCGGTGTGCAGGGAGGGGGGGCAGCCAGAGTGCTCGGCCGTGCGGGGGGGCGGTGTGCAGGGAGGAGGGGGGCAGCCAGAGTGCTCGGCCGTGCGGGGGGGCCGGTGTGCAGGGAGGGGGGGGCAGCCAGTGCTTGGCCGTGCGGGGGGGCCGGTGTGCATGGGGGGGGGCAGCCAGTGTGAAGGCTGTGCTGGGGGGGCCGGTGTGCAGGGAGGGGGGGGCAGCCAGAGTGCTCGGCCGTGCGGGGGGGCCGGTGTGCATGGGGGGGGCAGCCAGAGTGCTCGGCCGTGCGGGGGGCCGGTGTGCAGGGAGGAGGGGGGGCAGCCAGTGCTTGGCCGTGCGGGGGGGCCGGTGTGCAGGGAGGGGGGGGCAGCCAGAGTGCTTGGCCGTGCGGGGGGGCCGGTGTGCAGGGAGGGGGGGGGCAGCCAGTGTGAAGGCCGTGTGGGGGGGCCGGTGTGCAGGGAGGAGGGGGGGCAGCCAGTGTGAAGGCCGTGTGGGGGGGCCGGTGTGCAGGGAGGGGGGGGCAGCCAGAGTGCTTGGCCGTGCGGGGGGGCCGGTGTGCAGGGAGGGGGGGGGCAGCCAGTGCTTGGCCGTGCGGGGGGGCCGGTGTGCAGGGAGGAGGGGGGCAGCCAGAGTGCTTGGCCGTGCGGGGGGGCCGGTGTGCAGGGAGGGGGGGGCAGCCAGTGCTTGGCCGTGCGGGGGGGCCGGTGTGCAGGGAGGAGGGGGGGCAGCCAGAGTGCTCGGCCGTGCGGGGGGGCCGGTGTGCATGGGGGGGGGCAGCCAGAGTGCTCGGCCGTGCGGGGGGCCGGTGTGCAGGGAGGGGGGCAGCCAGAGTGCTCGGCCGTGCGGGGTGACGGGGGGCGCAGCGCTGACCCCGCCCTCCGGCCAGGTCTACGACGAGGGCCAGTTCGTGTACCTGGTGACGGAGCTGATGCGCGGCGGCGAGCTGCTGGACCGCATCCTGCGGCAGCGCTGCTTCTCGGAGCGCGAGGCCAGCGCCGTGCTGTGCACCGTCGCCCGCACCATGGACTACCTGCACTCGCAGGGGGTGAGCGGGCGGGTGTGCTCGCGGCCACACCCGCTCCCTCTGGTCTAATCCCTGGTGCACTGACTCCCAGCCCTGCGGGCGCGGTGGGCATGAGGCCAATATTCCCCTCTATCTATACCTACGTCTACGTCTACGTCTACGTCTATATCTATATCATCTATATCTGTATCTCTATCTGTATCTATATCTTATATATATCTTTATTGATTTCAGAGAGGGGGGGAGATGGAGAGAGATAAAAACATCAATGATGAGAGAGAATCACGGATCCAGGCACAAATATTCTCCTTTAGAAACCTTCCTATTCAGACCTGAGCTCTCCACATTCCCTTTTTGTTTAATCCTCACTCCAGGATGTTTTAATTGCTGATTTTTAGAGCAAGAGGAAGGGAGAGGAAGAGAGAGCGTCGATGTGAGAGAGGAACCCGGCCAGTTGCCTCCGTACGCGCCCGGATGGGACCTCTCGCTGCCAAGACAGCGTCCAACCAGCTGGCCCGGCCAGGGCCGCCCACACCCGTCTCCGCCTGAGCCGCCCGGGCCAGCGAGCTTTCATTCACGTCCGGGCCTTGGCCGACTCCTCGGAGGGAGTCGGTGTGGAGCGGGGTGGGCGCTCTGAGTCCAGCGTCCGGGCTGCCTCGCCTGCTGCCGGCCGTGAGCAAAGGGCTCCCAGTGACCCCGTTCCCAGCGCCTCTGCTCTCCGATCCCCCCGCCCCCGCCGCCCAGGCCCCCCTCAGGCCCCTCCCCCCCTCGGGCCCCTCCCCCCGCCCAGCCCCCCCTCAGGCCCCTCCTGCCCCTGCAGGTCGTGCACCGGGACCTGAAGCCCAGCAACATCCTGTACGTGGACGAGTCCGGGAACCCCGAGTCCATCCGCATCTGCGACTTCGGCTTCGCCAAGCAGCTGCGCGCCGAGAACGGGCTGCTGATGACGCCCTGCTACACCGCCAACTTCGTGGCCCCCGAGGCGAGCGCCCGGCCGGGGCGGGGGGCGGGGGGCGGGGGGCCGGGGCCGGGGAGCGGGGGCCAACAGAGCCTGATACCAACAGCCCAACGACCGAAATGTTTTCTGAGCCACATTTTTAAACTTAAGCTTCTTCCAACGCCACGTCTTCAGCACAGACTCGCCCAGGCCGTGGCGTTTTGTGGAAGAGCCACGCTCGAGGGGCCAG